CACGCTGTGGGGTGGGGGGAAGAGACGGGCACGATTGCAGGTGTACTGGGGGAAGAAGAGACAGGTGCAAACAGCGGGGGTGGGGGGAAGGCCGGGATTGCGCTTGTCCTTCCTGCAGGAGTGTGCCTGTGATCGCGCAGGGGGGAGATGGCCACGATCTTGGTCACCACCGAATGCGCAGTTCGCGACCCAAGTCAAAATTTTAATGAAATTTTTGTTTGTGACCCGATTTGTTCGTGAACCAAGGCGTTCGTGAGCCGAGGTACCACTGTACTTTGTGAACTGCAGTTCTGTGTCTGACTAGGAACTCTAACAGAATTCTCGGCACTTGGACACTTCGGCTCCCTGGGCGAGCCAGCCATAGCTGTCATCACTGTAAAAACCAATGTGGCTGTAAATACGTGTTTCAGAGGCGAAAGAGCCTTCCCCTGCTCTGGCTGGCAGCTCTCAGCAGCAGTAGTTTCCCCAGTACCCTGAAATGTCCCAGGGTCCATCTCGTGAGAAGTCACCTGCAGATGATCCCACTCTCCCTACTCTGGATGGTGGGGGAGCCACTTCAGACTTTTGCTAGAGTGCATTTGAGACCCTTTTGGATTATTTGAGTCAGTCCTGCATTCACATTTCCTGTATTATTATGTTTAGAAAGTACCACAACTTGTGTTGTGAGAAGTTGTGGCGCTTTTTAATATCAATGCTAATAAAAAGTTGTTCAATAAATCCAGTGTCTGGGAGGTACTTTATCAGCTGTACTAATGTAAGTGGTATTTTTGTGCCACCAGCCCATTTGCCGCTCTGCACGCGGTTCAGCCTCATCTGATCTATTTGAATCAAGGGACAAAATCTGGCTGGTCCTGCCTTCCTTTCATATCTTGGAATGATATGAGTACTGGAGTACTGGAAGGATCACTTGAGACCGTGGGTCCTCAAACTACGCCCACCACGCCCATTTATCCAGCCCGCCATAGCTTACCACGTGCGCGCTTGCATGCTCATGTGGCGAGATGCTGGCTTGCTCACAAGGAGATCATTTGGCCTCACTTGGAGAAAACAATCTCTGCACACGCACGCCCCTGCCTTGCCGCACGTGCCCCCCCCCCCCGGCCTGCACCGCCTGCCCGCACCGCCCTGGCAGCCCGCACCTTTTGACTGCCCCCTGTTCAAAAGGTTTGAGGGCTCCTGCATGAGGCTGTATCCAGACCAGCTCGTGGCTCCATTTTGTTTTGTCTGCTACAGTCCCCATAGTGGTCCCTGCCTGGGTTCCACGTCTGTTCCTTCCTCTCCTGTAATAGACAGCGTTGTTGTCGCCTTTGGCAGATTTATCTGTCACTCAGCTTGGAATAAGAAACGCTCCATTCTGGGTTTGCTTCTACAACTTGTCAGCATTTCTGGTAGCTGCTGTTATATGTGTCCTTGCCTCTTCATTACGAAGCACGGTTATTATACACACTTTTTACAGATAGTGAGCCTTTAACCAAGGTTTCTGGAGTCCGAATTCCTTATTGAATACAGTGTTTTAAATGGTGTCTTGTGTCTTTCCTTCACCACCACCACCATCCCAAGAATGTTGGCAGCCAGCACACAGATGCCTTTGTAGATAGCTCGGCTTTCATGTTCTTTGAAATGGTGTTTTGTTGCACAAACCTTGCACAACAATTGCATTTCCAAAGGGGATGCTTCGGATTCTGCAAACAGGGAGCCAAGAGGTGGTGGCAAATCACCATATCTAATTCAGAAACAGGAGTTTTGCTTTGCAGCCTTCTCTCTGTGGACCATGTAGGGTGGATAAAAATTAATGACTTTTTAAAAAATTTGGATTTTTAAAATTTAAACCAGATTTTTTAAATAAAATGCTTTTGAGGAAAAACCTATCTAAAGATAGTTTTCCGTTTAAGATGTTATAGTCCAGAGGTCATGAAAGAAGGATTAGCTTTTAATTATGTCACATAAGGTTTGTATAGTCATGTGATGTTTAAATTTTTTTGGTAAATGAATTCCATTGATCCATTCACAATGGCATGCTCTTCCAGACATTTCTGTAAGATTATTTGGCAGTTTTTCTATCTAGAAGATATTATCTAGATATATGCTTGGTTTCGCAGTTCTCGAAACTGGATTTGTATATGCAGGGATCGCATACCTCTTATTCACAGCAAAAATGTAATAAATGAACATAACAGAGTTGACAAAATGACCTTAATCCCATTGTTCCTTTTCAAATCTATATACACAGAATCAACTCTTACCTCATAAGTGCTAAGTTTTGAAAAATTCAATGAATAGAAGGAGGTTGTTGGGAGTGGAATAGATCTGCACAAGAAGCTAAGTAGGAGGAGGGAGGGGCAGGTAGTAAAAATGAAAGTGAAACCTTTTGAGCAGAATGCTCCACCAGTCTTTGGATCTTGTTGTGTGTAGCCTGAGGTTTTTCATATTATTCTTTTTCTGGGGAAGAAAACCTATAATGACAGCAGGCCATAAAGAGACCCAAATTAGGAATATGTGGATGAAGTTCCTCTACCTACAGGTAAAGTAGGTATGCTTGCAAATTATGTTGAAAACCATGATTTAAATCTAGTCTTACTGACTAGTGATCTAAATTTATTTCATTTAAATCAAACCCACCCTGGGACCATGCAGAGTGTAACCAAACAGATGCTTACATTTGGACTTTAAAGACCGGAGCAAAGGGCCCGAGCGTGTTGTCCTTTGTGCCCTTTCACAGTTTCTTGCTTGGAAGAAGCATGGCCAAAATATCCAGATTTAATGCCTAGAAAAATTGCATTCTGCAGTCTGACTAGTTATTCAGTTCAGTCTTTTTATAGTCACAGTCCCAAGTAAAAGACAAAGCAGAACATCAGAAGCTTATTTTAAAAGAGCCCATTAAATATTGTCCTGTAATATTTGTTCCCCCTATTCATTATTTGTTACATCAGCCTTTAGTACAAAGAGTTGTAGTGCATCGCCCCATTTTGCCCTCACAGCAGCTCAGGGTTCGATTTGGCTGTGTGTCAGTGGCTGGTGCCGTCACCCAGAGAGCATGACGGCTGGAGTGGAACGAGTCCCACACCAGTGCTTAGCTCACTCCACGCACTGGCACTTCTGCATGGCTTCCTGTGGGAACTGGTGAGCTGCTTCAGAGGGTGCAGCAGCTCAGGTCCCAGCTAATAGCAGCTGCTGTCCTTAGACTTCCACGCCTTCCCCAGGCACACCTTCCCTCATGGAGTGTCCTCGACTCAGTGCTGTGGCTTTTGGCTGAACGTTTCCCGAGTGACCTGGAATCAGTTTGGTGCTTGTGTGGTGCAGTCATAAGTAGGCCTTCAGTCTTTGGGTCCGATGTGAATAGCTTCAGCAGAGCAAATGCACAAATGTGGGACTCGGTGGAGATCTTTTTGTCTGTCATGAGCCCAGACGTTCTTCTCAGTGAACTAGCAGACCGGGCGGGAGACTGGCAGGGTTCCTCTCCAGGTGTCTCTATCTCCTTGTTCAGCTCTAAAGCCCTTCCTTGGTTCCACTGTGCTGCTGCAGCTGATATTCGGAGTTTGATGACAGCTGGTTCCTGCCAGGTGTCTCTCGGGAGAAGGGATTCATCTGCTCCGCACGCCCATCAACTGCAGCAGCATGAGAACTGCTCTTGTATTTCCCCATGTCACGTTCTGCTTGGGGTGCTGTCCAGGAGTGCCAGCAGCCTGAATAGATTCAGAGTGCCTGTGCAGACTTCCTCTTCTGGAGAGACCCTTCAGTTCCCTAAGGCTGTTTCTAATGGGCCTTGCACTTTAGCCTGCTGTGATGCCTGAAATTTTGTTGAGAGTGGTCTCGATTCAACTGTCCTTCCTGGGTCCAAAAGCTGCAGTAGGGTTGGTATTGCCAAAAGATGGGCTAGTGCTTCATTTTGCAGTCCCCACAGGCTCATAGTCAGGCCTGGAGTTTTGGTTCTGGGAACCCCTTGCTCAAGGGCAGAAAAAACACCAAATGTGTAAATTGCACGCACCTGGATGCTAGGTCATTTTCCATCCCAGCATTCCTTTCCCGTTTCACTTGACCTGTATGCCAGGAAGGGCTTGTACGCACTTTGCTTTTCTCTACCTGGGGAGTCGGTCTGTTTCCACAAGCAATAGAAAAATGCATTTATGAGCACTCTGATTCCATCTGCAATCATCCCTTGCAGACTGTGACTGCAGTTGTAAATGAAGTTGTTGCACATGTGTTCCTAGACTGCTTGCACAAGGGCACCCCGAGGCTTCTGTCTGGGACTCCAGACAGAAGCGTGGAAAAGCGCGGATGCAGGAGCGTGCCTTGGGTGCCTCGTGTGGCTAGGAGTGCTTGGCAAGTGCCTGTATGACTAGAAAATGGGGCCTGGCATGCTCTCCCTTTCTGCAGTCCCTGGGAGAAAGTGCACAAAGGAAAACTTTCCACCTCTTGGGGTGGGGGGTGCGAGTTCTTGTGTCCAAGGCTGGGTCCGCAACCGAGGCTGTGCCCGTGTGCATCAGTGTCCCCAGAGCAGCCCTTGAGCTACATCAACTGCCCCACAGTGACAGGTCGTCTTTCCAGTTTCCCTGAGGGGCTGTTATGATGGAAGGGAGCGGAGAGGGGAAGCGGAGGCGACAGACGAGAGGGTGGGCACTCTTCTGCTGGGCTACTGACAGTTGCAGTGAGTGCAACAAGATTTGAAGGGCTGGAGTTCACGTTTTGCCTTGTGAGCATGAGCACAGTCTTTGGGAGTAGGAGCAGTTCAGAAATGGATCCTTCCCACAGTCTGCACAGCAAGACACAGCACAGCCTCTTTGTTGGATGTTCTGTGATCCACACATTAAAGAAGCTTTATTTGACAACTGACTTGGCGCTTCGTGGCTGTCTGCAGCCTTCAGTGAGCCACAACTGTGTATAACAACCGTTCAGCATTGCTCACGGAAATGAAAGTGTGGAGGCGTTGTTGTGGGAAAGGCATCAGAGCATCACAGAGTGCCTGTTGAGCTTCACTGAAAATGTCTGCTCTTGCTTTCCAGAGCTCAGAATGAAGCGGCGAGCATCTGACAGAGGAGGTGGGGAAACATCTGCCAAGGCGCTTTGTCCAGGCATTTCCAGCAATACCACCAAGCGGGCCGGGCCCTTCATCCTTGGTAAGCAGGAGGGGCATTCTGTGCTTTGCCTGGAGCTTCTGTCATGGATGCAAATTAATCACAAGGGCGTGACTTAGTCTATGAAATCAGTTCTGCTTCTGCAGGGCACTGAATTCTGCACTGCACCCCTTCCCATGCTTGGAAATTCAAAGCCATATTCAGCCAGTACTCTGACTTCTGAATCCTCTCCAGGTTCAAAACTTTTTTCCCCCAGAAGGCATAAACCTCCCTGAGTCTGGGAGGTTATGAACGCCTCGCTGAGGGAGGGCTGGGTCCCTGCTCCCTTGAAGGAGGCAGTGATTCGGCCTGTCCTGAAGAAGGCATCTCTGGACCCAGAGGTGGCTGCCAACTTTAGACAGGTGGCCAATATCCCATTCCTGGGCAAGGTGTTAAAGCGAGTGGTGGCGGGACAACTCCAAGCACTCTTGGATGAGACTGACTATCTGGACCCATTTCAGTCCGGCTTCAGACCCGGTTACGGTACTGAATCTGCCTTGGTCGCCCTGTATGATGACCTGTGCAGGGAGAGGGACAGGGGGAGTGCGTCCCTGTTGGTTCTCCTGGACCCTCAGCGGCTTTCGATACCATCGACCATGGTATCCTTCTGGATAGGCTGGCTGGGCTAGGAGTTGGGGGCACTGCTTGGCAGTGGTTCCGCTCCTACCTTGCTGGCCGATTCCAGAAGGTGTTGCTGGGGGACTATAGCTCTGCACCATGGCAGGTTTGGCCATGGGGTTCCAGAGGGCTCTATTTTGTCCCCCTTGCTCTTTAACGTCTACATGAAACCGCTGGGGGAGGTCATCAGGAGGTTTGGGCTGCGGAGTCACCAGTATGCTGATGACACCCAGCACTACCTCTCGTTTACATCTACTCCAGGTGAGGCAGTGGCTGTACTGAACCGGTGCCTGGCCGAGGTAATGGGCTGGATGAGGGCCAATAAACTGAGCCTCAATCCAGATAAGATGGAAGTCCTGTTGGTGGGCGGATCGAGGTTCCAGGTAAGTGATTTTGACCCTGTTCTGGATGGGGTAGCACTCCATCTAAAGAACAGGGTCCGCAGCTTGGGAGTACTCCTTGACCTGGAGCTGTCACTGGAAATCCAGGTGGCAGCAGTGGCGAGGAGCACTTTCCTTCAGCTTTGGCTGCTCCATCAGCTGCGTCCTTACTTGGACAAAGACTGCCTAGCAACGGTGATTCATGCTCTTGTAACCTCCAGGTTGGATTATCGTAACACACTCTACATGGGGCTGCCCCTGAAAACGGTCCAGATACTTCAGCTGGTACAGGATAGAGCAGCCATGATGCTGACGGGGACCAGTCGTTATTCTCATATAACGCCAGTCCTCTACAAGCTACATTGGCTCCCAGTTGAAGTCTGGGCCCAATTCAAGGTGCTGGTTTTGACCTATAAAGCCCTGAATGGCTTGGAACCGGGATACCTGAAGGAACGCCTCCTTCCATATATGCCCTCATCAGCGAGGGAGACCCTACTCAGAGAACCCTTCCTGAAGGAGGTGAAAGGGGAATCTGCTCGGAGCAGGGCTAATCTGCGGTGGCGTCCAGCTCAAGGAATGCACTCCCCTGGTGCCAAACTTGCTCTTTTCAGCGCCCAGTCAGAACCTTTTTATTTAACTGGTATTTTAAAAACTATTATTAATGTAACCGTTGCGTTTTACTACTTTTATTGTTTTTACTGCTTGAATTGTTTTAATGTATGTGATTTTATTGATTGTTTTAATGTATTGACTGGGAGCTGTTCCGAGATGCCTTGCATGGGGAATCGCATACAAATGTTGTGCGTGTGTGCATGCTTGTGTGCTATTTATATATGTTGTTAGTCGCGAAGTCATGTCCGACCCATCACGACCCCATGGACAACACTCCTCCAGGCCTTCCCGTCCTCCACCATCCCCCGGAGTTCACTCAAGCTCACACCGACTGCTTCAGTGACTCCATCCAGCCACCTCATTCTCTGCCGTCCCCTCCTTCTTTTGCCATCTATTCTTCCCAGCATTAGGCTCTTCTCCAGGGAGTCCTTCCTTCTCATTAGGTGGCCAAAGTATTTGAGTTTCATCTCCAGGATCTGGCCTTCTAAAGAGCAGTCAGGGTTGATCTCCTCTAGGACTGACTGGTTTGATCACCTTGCTGTCCAAGGGACTCGCAGGAGTCTCCACCAGCACCACAATTCAAAGGCCTCAGTTTTTTGACGCTCAGCCTTTGTTATGGTCCAACTTTCACGGCATACATTGTAACTGGGAAAACCATAGCCTTGACTATACGCACTTTTGTTGGCAGGGTGATGTCTCTGCTTTTTAGTATGCAGTCTAGATTTGCCATAGCTTTCCTCCTCAAGAGCAAGCATCTTTTAATTTCTTGGCTGCAGTCCCCATCTGCAGTGATCTTGGAGCCCGG